AGTAACAAACAAGTTACCATAGCTATCGAAAGCGAGAGCCCATGGAATATTCAGTTGATCAGATCCTGAACCATATCCATTTGAACATCCAACCAAACATCGAACACCGTTAGGTCCCCATCGAACGACACGATCATTCTTGTTATCAACAATAAACAGATAACCATCTGCATCAAGAACCACTCCTGTAGGATAGTTGAGGGCAAAATTGATCGATGCTCCATCGCCTGCCACTGTGATTGCATCCAAATGATCAAATCGAAATAATTGAATTCTATTATTTCCAGCATCGGCAACATAGAGATTGAAATTGATATCGACAAAGATACCGATAGGAGAAGACAATAGATTTGATGTCGATCCCGCGTAACCATTACCTGCAGCAATCATCGATGTATTTACATCCTTATCTAGTGAACCTTTGACAATCACATTATTTATCCATTGTGAACAGTAAAGAGTATTATTAATGTCAATAAAGAGTCCACTACACTCACTATCGACATACATCACAATTGTGCTTCGTGTCGCATTTGGTGACCACTTTCGAATTCGACCTTTTGCACCATTGTCGACATAAACATCGCCATTGTGAGTGAGAAAAACACTATATGGACCATTTAAATTACCAGTTATATTTCTCGTTGGAATCGAACTCCCTTCGGGCCATACTAAAACACGGTTATACCAATACACTGCTACATAAACAGTATTATAAATATTGATAAAAATGCCGCTAGGATAAAAGCCAACCGTGCTTTCATTTGCCAATGTAGTCGCATTTGGATTCCATAATGGAGATTCACAAAATTTCGGCTGATTATAGAAGACTTCTATATACAAGAGAAGAATACAAGCAGCTCCTCAAGGAATATGAATGTTATTTTTAATGATTAAATTGCAACTTATCTAGAAAGTTCTAATTTTTAACATCACAATCAACTACTTTTAATATATAGAAAGAAATGAACTTCATATTCTTACCGGTACAGTCAACGACTTTTATGATTGTAAATATGGTCAGAATCCAACAGAAGAAATCTTTTGTAACTGGTAAGAACATGAACGATTGAAGAAGTATCGAATGATAGATGAGTGAAAACGATTCTGAGTTGTTGAACAACAACAACAGTAGAGAAGGCACTCTTTTCAATCCAATCAACGCTTACATATTCTCATTTGAAGAATAGAAACACAAAAAAATGACATTAAATCTTAGTTACTCCATTCTCAAGAGAAAAAAAACACCTATTTTTCTATATTCCGTTAAGTGTTGCTACGCCATTTGGAAAATGAAGCTTTCTTTTTTTTTTGCTTCCTTTTGACAACTCATCGTCTTTAATGGTATAGCAAAGCTTGAATGCACAATTCTCATTAGTGAAGAAGAAAAATCAGACAACAACTTTTTTGACAAAAGAAATATATGAAGATGTGTACTTCATGTTTTAAAAAAATCAATTCTAACTGTAGTACTTCAATTTGAACTAGTTTTACTATTAGTTCAATCCAAGCGAGAGCAATGTTAATACCGAGAAGCAAAAAAAGGATTTGTTTATTTGTTGAACAAAATATATTTGAACAAATGTGAGAAAATGTTTAAAATGAATCAATCAATTGTTATTATTTTGTTGTTGTTCTTCGACTGTAGTTATTGTCATCACTGTACGCTGTTGTCTATGATAAATTCGGATTTTTCGTACAATTTTTGCCGAGATAGGAACAAAAATTTTGAGTACAACTGTCAATCCTCCAAATAGTCCAATAATAGTTGTTACAATATACATTAAACTAACTCGTTCGTGAATTGAATAATTACATTGCAATGGTGCACATGATAAATAATATTGATCATAATTAACATTTGTTTCCCATTGAACAATCATTAATTCATTGATCAATGTTTGAACAGTGACATTAGATGAAGAAACTAGAGGACTAAGTGATCGAAAAGTAATATTCGAAAAATAATACATATTTTTTAGTACATTAATACATGTTATATTATAAAGACATTCAAGAGTCGATTGAAGAAGAGCTTCAAGTGCATAACAACCGACACGAAAACCAGGCACAATTGATCCATTAATAGTAGCCTGTGATGTACACATTGCATTTGTAGCACATGAACAATTATTATTCTCACCATAGAATCGTGATTGACTCCACAATGAATCACCTTCAACATTTCGATTTAATGCAAAAAAATACCAATTCGACATTGTCGATGAAACAATACTATTACCTTGTGCTATCGATCGTATAGTATCAAGTATACGTAAAAATGTTCGTGGTGTTGATATACGAAATTGAACAATAGTAACATTAACTTGTTGTTCAAAATTTTCACGTGATTGTAAATGTTTACTAATGAATGTATTTGAATAAAAACGAATTAATTCATCGGATAATGTCTCATTCGCTAAAGTACATAATGAAATAAGCCATTGAAATTGAGATACAATAAATAATCGATAATCGATATAGGAATAAATGAGAGTAGCTTGAGAAAAATAAATTTGATTAAGCCATATTGATGAATTTAAAATAAAATCACTCGAACAAAATGGATGATAATCCATTTTTATTTTAATAAATGATTTATATTCAATAGAAATATTTTGACATGGACAATTTAATGTAGAAGAATATTTCGAATTTTTTTGCAAATGCTCGAATTGTATTAAAGATGGATTATTGATGATAATCGATTGTGTTTGAGTTATTAATGATGTATAAATGATTAGAATAATTATTGAAATACCAAGACAAAGAATATAGATACGAGTATCAAGAATTTCTGTACGAATATGATATTCATTATTCCATGTTGCTTCATTTCCGAATACATTGAATTTCAATAATTTATTCTTCAATGATTCCCATACACATTGTATGTGATCGATCAGTCGGAGAGGATGATCTATAAACAATAATGTAATAAAGAGATATGGAAAAATATCTCGTGCATACAACATACTTGTTTGTGTGCTAGTTGCGGGGGAAATTTTCGATCGCATACGATTCCGTATAATACCAACAATGATCGGCAAGATTATTCTCCATGCAATAGAGAGTCCACCGAATAAACTAACTAATATTGTTATCACATACAACGGATTAGGATGTGATATAAATGTATATGAACACAATTTTGTTGCACATTGATTAAAGTATTGATCGTATTGAATATGATGGCCCCATTGTTCGATCATAAGTGAATCGAGTAATACGCCAATAGGTGTTTCAGGTAAAAAGCGAGTATTACTCGCATTTAGAATAGGTATTTCTATAGATTCCGTTGATATAATATACCATTGAACAATATCTAAACAGGATTGACTAAAAAAACATTCGAGTGATGATTCTAGAACACCTTGAATGATTGAACAACTAATAAATAAATTCGGTATTTCAAATATGAGTTGTTCATCATAATAGGAATATAAACCGATCGATTTTTTACATTCATTATTAATTGCACATGAACAATTCTCAATAATCATTGGTAGTGAAGAAAATTCAATAAATGTATCATTATTATTTACATGTGAAGTAGAAAATTTTGTATTATAATCTGCTAAGAACATACTATGACTATGTGTTGAAATTAATCTACGAATACGTTTAAATTCAGCTAGTGTATTTCGAATAAATTGTTGTAATGTTGCATTGGATCGATCGATTAATTCTTCATAGGACAATGCTTGAACAGTGATCAATGATGATCGATTAAAAATTTGCCAAGCATTAGACAAAGTACTTTGTGTTAATGAACATAATGCAGCTAATGTATTAAAAAAATATGGACCGGATTCTTCAAATTTTACTGTAGGATATATATCAATCGAAGTTCTTCCACGTGTTGAAATGATCCATTCATCGGAAATAAACAAACTTGAACATACTGGATGATATTCAGGTGAAAATGAAATAAATGAACCATAGGGTATCACTATTTGATTACATGGACATTTCAATGTTAATGGATACTTTTTAAATAAATTTTCATAAACTATTTTTGAAGGATTTTTGATAGTTACAATTTGTTGCTCAACATTCGATGCTATATATATAGTAAGAATTGTAATCGATAGAAAGAGAACAAGAAGATAGATACGAGTCGTTATTCTTGATGTAGTCAATTCGTATGAATCATAACGTATTATAGAAGTCTTGAATAAATTCAATTCAATCATCTCTATTCGTATCCATGACCATAGGATGTGAATACGTTCAGTGAGAGACCTATCTACACGAAAAAAACGAGAATTATGTTAATATACAGTACGCAATAACTCATTTTCCCTCTTTCGTGTTCTTATTCGATAATCTGTGTTTCGCATGAAACTACAAACGTTATATATTGATCAGAAATAGCAAATAAACTTCAGAGAACAACAAAAGATGCATCAAAATAAAAGATATTGTTGCTAAAGAAAGGCATAAAAATGTCTATGAGTGAAGTGGGTGTGTGGATGTGGTTGTGACTGTGGGTATGGATTTGGATCTTTCCTTCAATAACAACTACACACACCCATACTCACACCTACAGCCAATCTTCTGGTGAAAAGATAACATCAATCGACATTAGAAAAGTTGAGAAAAATGAAAAACACTAACAGTATAATTATTTATGGGACATTCGTTATATAAAAATCATTGGAAAAGAAGGAAAATGTAATAATGCTAAAGAAGAAACACGAACAGGAGAAAACGAATTAGTACATGACTGTGTAGTAGTGAGACTTACTTGTATTAACATTTGTCGGACGTCTCAGTCGATTGGTACGTGTACGCCACCAAGCAATTGTATGTGACACGAGAAGACGAAGAGCAATAGCGAGTCCACCATAGAGACCCAATAATTTCGTTATTACGTACAATACATCATTATGTCGTGTGAAAGTGTACGTACATGAAATGGGCTCACATTGTGCATAATATGATGAAAATGATCTTATTGTTGTCCAATCTTCGATAAATGATTCATTGACTAATCTCTCGATAGGATCTTGTGGATGAAATCGTGTTTGATTGTGATTTAAACTATGGAAAGTGCTATTGATGGATAAAGAAAAGAATTGTAGCACTGTATTTAAACAAGATGAATCAAAGAAACATTCGAGTGTTGATCGAAGAACTGATTCAATAGGATAGCATCCAGCTACGAAACCGGTCACATTAGCCATGGGTCGTATAGTCCCTCTATACACGCCATAATTAGGAACGGCATAAGCAGTAGGAAGATAGAAAGTAGAGGGCAAGAAGCATGTTGCTCCAAGATTACAATAACAATACTTTCTTCTAATATCAAGAAAAGTCGGACCCCATGAATATACAGATGCTGTATTATTAACATTGAGTTCGAATAAATATGATCGAGATGTTTGTAATGCAGTCTGTAATCGATTACTGTAAGTAGTCGAACGTAGGAGACGAAGTAGATTTTGGAAAACATTTGCTGTTGATATTTGTACAAACGAACTTTGCGCTCGGATTTGTTCATCGAATTGTAAACGTGAGAAAACATCTGGTGTTAGAAAATTAGCCGAAAGAAAGTCATCAATAGCATCCGATACTGATGTCAAAGCAAGTGAACAAAGCGATGCAAGTAGTTGAAATTGACCTGTAGCTGATGATCGAAAATCAATTGGATAAAAAAAGCTTATATTTGTATTGAAAAGAATATTAATCCATCTATCAGATATGAATAAGCTAGAACAAATAGGATGATATCGAACTGATATGGATATGAATGATTGATAATGCATTGAAATATGTTTGCAAGGACATTGAATTGTTGTTGGATATTTTTTATATAAATCATCATAGATAACTTCAGCCGGATTCAATACACTCACAGTTTCAGTTTGATTTTTTAATAAAGTAAAAGTAATCAAAATTGTGATGGCCAATACTAACATTAATAGATAGACACGAGTTGTAATGATTGCAGTACGCAAATGAAAAGCACTTGTACGTGATGCTTCACTTTCGAATATATTCAGTTCGACTAGTTGTGTCTTCATCCATCGATCTAAGTCAGTCATGATGGTCAAGATCTGCATATTCTGTGTTGTTGAATAACAGCAGTAGAGGAGGTAGTCTTTTCAATTTAATCAACACTTACACATTCTCATTTGAAGAATAGAAACACAAAAAAATGACTTTCAGTCTTAGTTACTCCACTCTCAAGAGAAAAAAAAAACACCTATTTTTCTACATTCTGTTAAGTGTTGCTGTGCCATTTGGAAAATGAAGCTCTCTTTTTTTTGTTTTTTTTTTGACATCTCATCATCTCTAATGGTATAGCAGAGCTTGAATGAACAATTCTCATTAGAGAAGAAGAAAAATCGGTGACAAGCGGTTCCTCAAAAACACATCGAGTAAATGATAAATCAAAAAAAAAAAGACATAAAATAATTCACAAATGTGTTTGCCAAAAATCAGACGAGCCTATGATTCTACTCGACAATGCAATTTAGGAATAAAATCGAAGTTGAAAAACAGCAAGAAATGTGCATATATTCACGAAGAGGAGGATAACTTCAGTCATTCAGGCAGTTGGAACCAAAGATGTTAGCCATCTTTTTGATTGTTAGCGGCGACAACGAAATTTCTTATATTTTATTTTACATGATCTTTCATAGATCGATCCGATTATTACAAACATTTGGTATTCTATGCTCTCAGAATCACGATGTTTTTTCGGCACCTGTATATCGTCTTGTATAATATTGTTTCCACTATTCTTCGGTTCGTTCTTATGCACTCAAAAAGTTCCTTCTGTCTACAATAAACTAACTGAAAGTTCAAAAACTGAAGCTCTAATTGGAATACTAATGAAACTGATACTAAAGTCGGAATTCGAATTCAAATTTCAATCAATATTTTCCTATGGGTTCGGAAAGAGAACAAGTCTTTTTGATTTGTTAGTTAAATAGAAACTAAACATGTAACCTCAGATTTGATCGACGGATGCAGATAGAAATTTTATCGGCAGGATCTAACATCTTTAGTTGGAACTAGGGATGTCACTGGCGAATTGAACAGAAAAGTCTACGCGAAAG